TAACAAGGTTTTCTTATCATCTTCTTTGACTGGTATCAGAGTCTTCATTTGAACAGCATTATATTAGGTGCTCTGAGCAAAAGTCAATTATAATTTAGACTCCTGATGAAAACTAAACATCAGAATAAGAGTTAGAAGGAAGCACTGTGGCATACCGTTTTCTGAGAGCTTGTTTGAACCATGTATATTTGTTGCCTTTTCCCCCTTGGTGGTTTATCATTTTCACAGTATGCTTTCTTGTGTTCTGTCTTCCCTTCTTGAAAGTCCTGTCCACAAATGGATGTCATTGTCTCAGTCATATATTGGTTTATTATTGACTAATTATTTAACCTTTCTTGATATTTTCTTCATCATCCATGACATGGAATAAGTTCTCCTAATACATTTCAAAGCCCCTGTGCTAATTCTCTAGCTGTGGTTTCCAAACTAAAACTGTTTGTTGAGGAATACATATATAATGGTGGTCCTTCTTGGAAGGGATCGTATTAAAAACACTTTCTTCCTGTTCTTTCCATGCAACTACCTTTATTACTGCCAGAGAATAACTGCCGTGATCATTTAGATTAATAAGTGACAGTCATCAGTAAGATGGAGAGAAAAATATGATGCTGAATTTATATACATGAAATTATTAAATACTTTTGGAAGTTAAACAATATCTAAATATTAATAATTCATCTTTAAGTTTGCATGCCTGTTGATATGATTTTCTTTGTTAAATGAAAAGCTACCATTCTTGTTTGTAAAGTTAAGATCAAATCCAGACTTAATTTAATGTCCCTATCTCTCTGTCTTTGCATTGTTCTTAAAAGGGGGAGATCTGAAAAAAAAATTTAATCTCGATGATGTTATTTCACATACAAATTTCAGTATTCAGATATTAATCATAGAGATTAGGAGTATATTTTCTCAACATAGATTTTATTTACTCTTAGTATTCATATTAATTTTGAGATGGAAGGTAAGAATTTAGTATTATAAATGTGTGAAGCATTCTCTTTGATATATTAGAACTTTGAACATAATTCATTGTAGCACGTATCATTCTGAGTTACAAGCATTAGTTTATGTCTTTGTCCCCTCAATTCTATATCTTTCCATTCTTTCCCCTCCCAGATTGGCAGTTTCTAGAAGGCAACAACCTTGTCTGCCTTATGTTCATCCCTTATCATCACATAGGTTCTTGGCATGGTGCCTTGGCAAATAGTGGGGGCTCAATAAATGTTTTGGAAATAATAAATGAATGATATTGATGTTATAGATGCATACAAATTGTATAGTGTTGCTGTAAATTTTCAAATTCAATATTCTCATCAAATAGTGTCAATTCATTATCTGTATCTTATTATACACCAAGTAGGAATAAATCCTATAAAGATCAATGCTCAAGCTTAATCCCAAATTATGTGGCTCCATCCTCTGTAGCAAACAGGATGTGTTTACTGAAGGCCTTTCTTAAAACTTAGAGTATTGTTCACACATAAAGAAAATGATGGGTAAACATTAATGTAACTTTCAGTGGGGAAAAAAATAGAGCTATTCTGCTTTCAAATTGGACTACCACCTAAAAAGAAGCAAGTTAGGGTCAAAGGATAATGTAGAATAAATATAGAAGTAATATTTATGTTCTTTACTGTGTACCAACTACAGTGCCAAAAGTTTTACGTGTTAGGTACTATTATTCCTGAGAAAACAGGTTTCTCAGAGCTGTCAAGTAGGAGTCCTAGGATTTAAACTGAAACTATACAAACCCATTTTTTTGCACTACAATAAAAAACATGATCACATTTTACCCATCTTAAATACTTTCTGGAACAAGGCAGGGCATACATCAGTTATGTAAATGATTCCTACCGGCTTTATCAGAGATCACAATGATCATGCTACTGAAATGCCAAGGGTTTGCTCTAGGTCCTGTTGCTTGCTGCATAGAAAGCCAATCACTGAGACAACAAGTATTGCCAGGGAAGAAGGCTTTATTGAAGTGCTGCAGCTGAGGAGCACAGGAGTTAAGTCTCAAATCTGACCCTCAACTGACTAAAATTGGGAGGTTTATATAGTGGGGGTAGAGATATAGCTACATGTGGGAAGGAATTGGGGAGAGGTAAGAAAGCAATCTTGATGAATGAGGGGTCTAGTATATCATTACTGAGATTGTCTGAATGTGGTGATCTGGTGAGTTTCGGTCACTTGTCTGAAGGTTGTTTTTCTGAGGAAGGAATTCAAATGAGACAAGTGTAAGTTTCAAGTTTTAGGTCTGGGGGACTCAACTTCTATGTTTATTCAAAAAACAGTAACATTTTTATTGAACAATTGTGCTGGTTTCAATGTCAGCAGTGGGGAGAGTGTCAGGGAAGGCTTCATAGGGGAAAGGTGCAGACTTTGACTTGAGATAAACTTTCGTTGTTATCCCTGCTCTGCCCCTGAGTCATCCTGAGCAAGTTACTTAAGCTCTCTAGTTTTTGATTATATTATTTGTGAAATGCAGATGTTCATAGGCTTTTGAAATGACAAACACGATGTCTGAAACACAAAAGGTCTCCAAATATGATGGTTGCTTGAATCACCATTTGAGTAGAATGATGTTTCATTCTTCTTTCTGAAGATGCTACTTAAAGGACATGATCCTGAAAGCAGAACAGAAAGAGAAGACTATTGTCTTAGGGAGGCCTTAGTAGATTTTATGACAAGAGGGATATACCTCGAGGTATGTGTCAGTTTGATATAAAATGCCTTTGACTCACAATGAAATGTGGCATATTACATTGAATCTATATTTCTGTCTGTTATTTGCTTCATCAAACAATGATTGATGGTTCATCTTGAAATTCATCAAAATGTAGAACAAACTATTTTTAAGAGAGATTGTTGGGATCTAGAAAATGATATCCTAAAAGTATGGCAATTTGGCATGCTGAACACTTCCTTAAACTAGGAAGGCCGCAGAAACTGCCTCAGAATCAAAACCTTTCTGACCTCTCCTGTCTCTCCCCACACTCCAGTGCAAGGTGAAATTTTAGTCTGATTGAAAACGCCTTTGCAAAAATGATAACTGAGGAAATTATTAACAGTGAAAAAGATCTGACCTAACTGACTCCCTCTTGTTTCTAACCTCCAAGCTGCCTCTGTTCATTCCTGGGTGAAAGCTAAACTAACTTTGGGAGGAATTTGGTTTATAGTTTAACTTTGAAACAAAGATGATAATGGTCCTTGACCAGTCTGCCTTTGTAGTACTAACAAATTAGCTACAAGACTAGAAGTTATGGTTTAGGAGTCATGCAGCCAGAGGCTGCAAGATTCTGAACCAACCTAAACTGCTCTTGGGAATAACATCACTGTCATAGAACTTAAGATCACTTTGAAGACCCTGCATTTCAGTGCACCAGCAGACACCACCTGGACCAGCAATCTGGCTCAGCCAGTTCTGCAGTCCCACTCAGGAAGAGAAGACAGCAAGAATAACCCACTTCAACTCCCTATGATTTCATCTCTGACCCAACCAATCAACACTGCCTACTTTCTGAGCCCCTACCCACAACTTATCCTTAAAAACCCCAGGGGAGACCAATTTGAGTAGTAATGAAACTCCAGTCTTCCAAGCAGCTGGCTCTGCATGAATTAAACCCTTTTGCTACTGCAAGGCTCCTGTCTTGATAAATCAGCTCTGTTTAGGCAGCAGGCAAGGAGAACCCACTGGGCAGTTACATAATCTTCTCTTAACTTCAGTATCTTAAGACCAGAACTGCCAAAGGGAACACAATTGCCCTCCATATCCTCCTTGAAATTTTATTATCTATTAAAGAAAAAAAGACTGAAAAATGTAACCACACCTAGACAAACTTTGTTATAAGATATTGTCTGTCTCTTGGGTTTCTTCAAATTCCAAAGACTCAATTATAAGATAATGTCTGCTTCCTAAGTCTATTGATTTCCCCTAAAAATCATTTACTAGCCCTCTAAAATTGCCTATAGCCCCCAATAAAAAGGGTATTTAAGCCTCAACCCTCTGCCCCTCCTTTGAGTTTTTATATTTTGTATGACTCCTGCAAAACATTAACAAATTTGTCATGGCTTTTCTTTCATTACTCTGTTCATACCCAATTTAGTTCAGAAGATTTAGACTCGAACCTTCAGAGGAAAAGTTTGTACTTTCCTATAATTACAAAGGTGCCTTCAAAGAATTTGCAAATATAATGTAGTGTAAATTATAATCAATACCTAATAAATTTAATAGAGAAGTGAAATCAGGGAGAGAGAATTCCAGTTTTAGATGATAATTCCAGGTTTGGATTTTCCTGGGTCTTAAATCATATAATGGATTTTATAAGGTAAAAATAAAAGGTGAAATTGAATTATGTTTGAGGACGACTCTCTGGTATAGAGTTTGCATTGGAAAAAATGTAGCAAGACAAAGGGTAGAGAGATTGAGGCAAGGCAGAAGACATGTAATGGAAGCCTAAGAACTCAAAAGCAAATAATTTGACAAGTTACCTATTTATTTTGCTTTACATTAGGTAATTTTGTCTTCCAGAAGCTAAAGGAATATAAGAAAAATGGAATAAAGTACACCAAGACAAATACCTTTGTGGTACAAACATGAGATAGTGATAGAAAAGCTAACTTGCAGCATAAAGCTATTTAATAATGTCAAGTCATTTGAATGCAACTTTTGAAGTAACAATTAGAAGAAGTGATAATCTCATTGCTCAGGAAACACACTCGGAAGTTAAAAGACCATCACCATTCACTTCTTATTCAGGTTCTACCTTCTCCAGCCATGATGATGGTCTTCAAACTCGAAATAATGACACTAACAATAGTACTTTGCTATTTTCATCAGGCTTTTAATGCTTCAAATACCAGGGCAATAGTTCTTCTAAAATCAGAGTGAACAGAAATCATGAATTCTTTTTTTTTTTTTTTTTTTTTTTTGAGACAGGGTTTTACTCTATCACCCAGGCTGGAGTGCAGTGGCTAATCTCTACTTCCTGGGTTCAAGTGATCCTCCTACTTCAGCCTCCTGAGTAGCTAGGACTTCAGGTACGAACCACTGTTAGCAGTGAAATGTATCTGAGTCATGTAGCACCCAAGTATGTTAGCAGCAGGTATGAGTCATGTAGCACTCAGCAGCTACCGAGTCATGTCGCACCCAAGTATGTTAGCAGCACGATCCATACAGGTCTGCAGCAACTTCAGTTCTTGCCTCCTCAGGAGAAAGAATTCGACTGAGGGAAAGAAGGCAGAAGGAGAGACCAAAGCAAGTTTTAGAGCATGAGTGAAAATTTATTAAAACATTGTAGAGCGGGAATGAAAGGAAGTCAAGTACATTTGGAAGAGGGCCACACTGACAACTTGAGAGATCAAGTGTGCTGTTTGACCTCTGACTTGGGTTTTGTATGTTGGCATACTTCCAGGGTCTTGCATTTCTTCTCTCCTGATTCTTCCCTTGGGGTGAGCTGTCTGCATGCACAGTGGCCTGCTAGCACTTGAGAAGTGAGCATGCACAGTGTGTTTACTGGAGTTGTACACATGCTCACTGGAGGCATTTTTCCCTTACCAGTCCAGTGTTCCTAGAGGAAGCTCATCCACCATTTTGCCTCTTAGTATGCATGTGTGAGCCCACTCACCCAACTCCTGAGATCTATGAGGAAGCTGCTAATCACTAGTTTCAGGTGTTTCTTTCTACTGAGAGAGCACCTTTCCCTGGCACCATCAGTGACCAATTATTATTTTAGAGAGGCAGTTAGCAGCTGCCTGACCATCACCTGATGGTCATCTGACATTCCTATTCAGGGGGATGTCCTCTCCTTCCATGCTCATTCTGATTAGATACCTACTGTGTAACACTACCACAGCTGGTCAATTTTTGTATTTTTTGTAGAGACAGAGTTTCATCATGTTGCCCAGGCTGGTCTTGAACTCCTGGACTCAAGAGATCTGACTGCCTCAGCCTCCCAAAGTGCTGGGATTACAGGCATGAGCTATTGCTACTGGCCTGAATTCTAATTCTAATCAGCAAAAATTAGGACTGTGCCCTTGCCATTCCCTTCTTTTAAACTTCTAATTCAATTACTTTACGTGACTAGTCCTTATATTATAAAATATAATAAATCAAAAATCATTATAATAAAAACAGCTCCTTGAGCAACTGGACAAAAAAAGGAGCTGGGCATAAACACTAGTAAAGTTTAAACAATTGTATTTGGCAGGTATTCCCCAACATATAAATGATTCCTACTAAAAAATTCTGTCTAGTTCACGCTGAGTAGTTATGTTAATCCATTCAGATATTACTGGTATATTTGTACCTCAACCAAGCTAAATCATTCAGAATGGAATCCTACTAAAAATTATGCCATCATGAGATAGTATCCTGTAGTGGAAAGAGCACAGGCTTTAGTCTAGGGTCTGTGTATCAGTTCCCAAATTATTAGCTATATGATTACCAAATGAGGGTAATAGTGCCCACTTGTCAGTTGTCATGATGATTCAATGTGATTATATATTTGGGGAAACTGGTATTTATTGAGCACCTACCATGGGTCAGGTACCCTAGTATTAAATCTTCTAGGCAACTTAATGAGGCAGATATTAAAAGCAGAGCCAGGCTTTGAGCCCAGGTCTTACTTCAAATTTCATGTTCCTTCTACATTATATAATAAGATGCCTGTCATGGTACCTAATACAAAGCAGGCCCTAAGAAATACTCACTGAACTGAATGAACAGCTTCATTGTAATAAAAGTGATTAAATCATCATACCTATTCTTTACATTTTAAGCCAAAATTATCTTTTATTTCTATTTTTAATTTTTTGAGGAATCTTCATATTGTTTTCCATAGGACTGCACCATTTTGCATTTCTACCAAAGGGAAAAGGGGCTCCTCCAATTTCTCCACATCCTTGCCAACATGGACAGAATGTTTTTAAAAACAACTCACTTTTGTAAAGCCTATCCAAAATACTCAACTTTGGCTTTATAGAAACAAATGTATTTTGTTTCACATTCATGTTCCATAGGCTTGTGTAATACTTAATAGAAAGTACATAACAACTGCATCTAGCATATTCATGTTTGGAATAAAGACAACTGGTGATTTGTAAATTCATAATTCAGCTGGTAGAAGCAGAGTGGTGGAAATTCTGGAGAAGAGCTAGCAGTCTAAATCATTCATCCTGCCGTATCAGTGAAAGTGTTTACAGAGAGAGCAGGAGCTGAGGGCTACTTACGGGGAAATTAGTTAAGAGCCCTCCTACACCTTAAAACGAAAGGATTCAAGGAGATGACCTCTGAATTCCCTTCAGTTTCACAATAGGTTTTTGTGATGGACTAAAATCATACAACTGGATTAGAAATGTAAAAATATCATCAGGGTCCTATGTTTAATAATCACTTAAAGGTTTTGAGTTCATAGATTTCACGCTTTATGTACTGCCGCCTCCCCTGATTTTCTTTGAAGATATAAAGGAGTTGCTGCAGGCTTTTTTCCAATGTAAGAGGTTGCATCTATATATTTTAAAAATGATGCTTCTACAATGTGTTATAGTAGGGTATATGGCAAGAAAAGATCCAGAGACATGGATTCAAATGCAAACTCTGCTTCTGACTGGTGAGCAAGACACACATTTCTGAAACTTTGTTTCCTTCGTATAAAATGAGTGAATTGGACAAATGATGTTTATGACTTTGTCCATTCTATAGTTCTACAATTTCTAATACCTTCTACTCTCAGAAATTTTCATGTGAAAATTGTCATTTATTTATTAGCAGCCACTATCTGAGAAGTCCATTGCTATTTGCAACTCTACCTTCCAGGCAGTAATCAGCCTGAAATTTTTTTACTGAAAAGCAACAACTCTGTTCCTTGTAGCTACATACCAGGCTGCTCTGCCACCTAATGTCATAGTCATCTACAGTTAATTCCATATTGCTTTAGGGTCTGCTTCAATAGTAATCTAAAGCATTTCTCTGTCCTCCCTATTTGGAAATGTCACATTTCAGAACACTATACTCCAGCTTGTTGAGTATCCTGCTGTTGTCTCTTCCTCATACCTGATCAGTTAGCAGAATTGTGTTTTGATTACTACCCCAGCAATCCTGGTGGTCTGGCTGTTTGCAAGGACTTTGTAGTTATTACTGTTTTCTTGTCACTTGATACGCAGTTTGGATGGCAGGCAACCCAGATGAAATTATTCCAAAAGGTAGATATAATATCAGTGGTTGCCCGTGTTTTATGTACCTATAAAATACTAGAGAACACTATTTTTTTAAGTCATTTGTTATGGATTGAGGTTTTTTTTCCATATTGGAGCTATATTTTTGGTCAATTTTTCTGCATATATTCTTCTTAGTCAATTTCTAATTAAACCTAAAAGTAGAATTCACAGGAAGTTTTCAGTTTCATAATTCCAGTGGAAAACTTTGGGAAAATCTTTAAAGCCATATGATCTCTGCTAGAGGTTGCTAAGGGAGTTCAGTTGTCTTTAGAGCCATTGAAATTGCATAGTGAAATGCTGACACTACAAAATGACCCAATGTCTTGTGTATACTTCAAGGACACACAAGTCCTAGGTGACTAGTAGCATGACTTTCAATGTTACCTATAACCTATTGAGTTTGAAAAATTAACTCAAGCTTCTAAAGGCATTATCTAATTGGTATAAACTCTTGGGGCCTAGTTGCATCTGAGGATACACAAAAATGTTTGCTTTAGAGAAGACATGTCAGAAAACCCCGTTTTCCTCCTTTTACAGTGGAAAAAAATGGGTCAAGCAATTCAAAGCAATCAATCAACCTTAGTATATAAGTGAACTTTTTTTTTAAGGTCAACTTCTTCACTTTATAATGATCCTCTTGACCTTGCCGTTTGAATTTTCATGAAATGGGGAAGTTAACCCCTAATTGGAGGTTTAGCTGTGCTCCAGGCTTTGAGGCCAATCCTATTACTTTTCAGTGGGAGGATTATGAGTTTATTTTAGAAGCTCAGAATGCTCAGAATATGCGTTCCCACTCTCCCAGTAATTGCACTTCTAAGGAGTTTCTTTTTCTTTCTTTGAAGGATTTAGAGTAGCTTTCTTGGAACACTGTTAATGTCATTCTTCTAAAAGCATCCTGTCTATCAAACTTGGCTGAATGAAACCATTGCAAAACTAAATCTACACAAACACAGCAAATAAACACATAGCATCAGCTTTAAGTGTGATTTACAGAGTTGTAAGAATAAGCAGATAAATTTATTGATTGTTACATTTATATCTGTTGCAGTCTGATTTGTTGGAAACACCATAAATTTGATTTTATAGTCCATTTTCATTTTTCTGAATAAATTATGTCCTAGAAATCTGTCATGGACAAACAGTCTAGCAGGTGAATTCATACTGATGGTCATCTCCAACAGTGTTTTCTAACATCTAAGTACTACCTTTAGCCCTAGAAATGGATTTTAATGTTTACAAAAGAATATTTTAATAAAGCTTTGCTAATATTCATATGTATAGGCATCTTAACTTGATTGAAATTGCTGTCTTCCCAAAGATGGTTCTGTTTTAACATTGTACATGAAAGAGGAAATCCTAGCCTAATAATTTGAAATTATGTTTTTTATAGCAGAATTCATTAGCTTTTATTTTTACGTCATAATCAGTCTCTCTTTGATCTTTACACAGTATCTTTTATCTGTTGTGTTAACAATCATGCTACTGAATATTAGATATTATTGCATGATATATCAAGGAAGTTTAACTTGAGCAATTACTGATTTCATCCAGAATTCAAGCCTCTGTTTGTCAAGAAGTTAATATTTTTAAAGATACACTGACTTTATAATCTATATTTATTTTCTTATCAATTACATTTTCATAGTCTCCTGATTAGCTGGCACTTGGTGCTTAACATTACCCTTTAGCTCTGCAGGGTCCTTTTAGACACTTTTATTGTAAAGAAAAATCAAAAATCAAAGTGAATTCTTAGTATTATATTTGAAGCAATAGAAGCGCAATTGCTGAAACAGCAGCCAAGCATTGTGCTATAGAACTAACTC